AATGCTAGTGAGGTTTAATGAAAGAATGTCTTCTGAATACAAAATCATGCAAAACTTCATTAAAACACTGGCCAAAAAAGCCTAAGGAAAACATGTCAGTTAAAGGCCATTCTTGTTAAAAAACAGGAAGGTCATGTGGCCATACTCCATAATTTAGCTAAGGATAATTGAATATATAAAATGTTAGAGTTTTACTATATTGCATTTTCTTTTTCTTTAATTTTTAAATTTATTATTGACCAGATTATTTTCTTTCCTACCAGTGAAAAAGCCAAAAGAAATTTGAATAATCAATATAATAATCAGGTCCAAGCCTTATTTATAGCAGTCAATTTGGGCAACTCATTACTGTCCACAGATACGTTTTTTTTCACCAAGTAGCTATAATGGTTTTAAGAACAAATTTTGAAGATTCGGGCTCCCAGTAGGTGAAGAACAGGTGTCTGGAGGAAATAAGATAGGTTTTTAGACCTGGAAAAAATGAAAGACTGACTGCTTGGCACTCTGAAGACTGGTTATATCAGCCTGCAAACACCCTCTCATTATTTTAATATCACACTTATATGAAATACTTCGGGAACCTTTGCCAGAAAGATAAAAACAAATTAAACTGAAGGCAGGACATGAACTGAATATCTTATTCTGGAAGCACCATCACTGACAGCTTTAGAAAAAAAAATAGAATGGATCCTTCAAAACACTTTTTCCGAAGGGCAAACAATATTACCAAGAAAGAGTCAAAAAGAAAAACAGCATAATAAGCAGCGAGTGTGGTTCTCCTCACTGCTCGTATAACTCCTTCTTAACATTCTTATAGTTCTTATTAATTTCTGGGTGTATATAGTTCTTTGTTTACTGGATTGGAAGCTCTCCTTGGACACTATGTCTTCTTCATGGTACATTCCCCAAATTGGCAAATGTAGCACTGTGCATGTACTCAGTGTTCAAAAATGTTTCTTAAAATGAAAGGACAGCATGTTCTTTGGATTTCTGCAAAATTCCTTCATTGTTTACAATTCCTGAAAAATGAAATGAACCTGACCTCTATCCAACATGAAAATACTCTTTTCTCTACACATGCCTTTATCCCTTTACTCCTGCTACTCCTTCTGCCTGCAATGCCCTTTCCTAATCTCATAAATCCTACTCATTCTTCAAGGCCTATGGCAAGTAGCCCCTTCTCCATGAAGCTTTCTCTGATCTTCCTAGCGACAAGTAATCTTTCCTTCTGTTGAAGTTCCACTTTACCTAAACCTTCCTTACATCCCTCAATTATACTATAGCCAGTTCCATTACCTAAGTAACTATCTCCTAAGTTAGAGCAAGTACACAGCCATGTCTGATAAACTATTTACTAAGTGACTACCTTCAAGCCTATGGTTCCAATGGGGTTTAAGGCTTCTAATTCAGGATGATCCCACACGCTATTAATAAGGATCTCCTCTTGCATTTGAGCCATCCTCTGGGAAGACAAAGAAGAACACTCCAAGGCAGTTTTGTAACCTACTGTGTAATAACCTACCGTGTGATAACTGCCTGCATGCACTATTCCCAAATAACATCTGAAGCCTCTGTGCTGGCAGCTTGTGACCTTCTGAGTGAACCTAATGACATGTGTGGCTTATGAGAGTCCTGTGAGTTGGAACATTTAGTTGAATCTAAAATGACCCTTGATGGACCATTTCAATAAGGTTTCAAGTATTAATAGCTTATTATGAAAATTAAATGAATTAGTATATGTAAAATTCTTAAATGGTGTCTAGCACATAGTAATAACTCAATGAATGTTACCTACTGTTGCCCATGGTCAGAAACCAGCCAAGTAGAACTATGAATTTAGACATGTCTGATTCCAGACCCTATGCGCCATTACTCCTTGGTACTTTTCTACATAAAATCAATTTCCTATCTCCTTCCCTCTAAACCTGCTCTCAGAAATGGGTTTTTATATCAGACATGCGTACTTCAGTGCAAAATTAAGTGACTTTTTTACCTGCATGGATACACATCATAAGCCGGATCCAAGTGTCTATTCCCAAACTTATTTGCTCCCAAACAAATGTTTGTGTCCCCCTAAAGTTCAGATGTTGAAGCCCTAATATGATGGTGTTTGGAGGTGGGACCTTTCATGTCATGAAGGTAGAACCCCATGATGGGATTAGTATCCTTATAAGGAGAGGAAAATAGCTAACCCTTTCTGTTTCCCCACATAAGGATACAAAGAGAAGGCAGCCACCTGCAAACAAGGAAGAGAGACTTCACTAAGAAGCCAGCCAGGCCGGCACCCCGATCTCAGACTTGCAGCTTCCAGGACTGTGAGAAATAAATGTTTCTTGTTTAAGCCACCCAGTCTATGGTACTCTGTTATAGCAGCCCAAACTAAGTCACTGTTAAATGCCAGATACAATTTATTATAATAGCTGAGGGAATAATGATGAACTATGAGTGTAAAGAGATCCCACACACACAAGAAAACTAAGTAATGTACTCTGGAAAGACTTGACAAAAAGGCAAATCACTAAAAAAAATGTTTTGCTATTGAAGTAAGTGTAAGAAAAGCTTAAAAGACTTGGGGGAGAAAAAGCAGACTATGAACTCTGATTGCTTCAGTATCTTTTAGTTCCTGCCCCACTTTAGAGACACCCAAACTGGAACTCAAAATAACTATGACATGGAATTCTAATCGGTAGACCCACAAAACAAACAAACAAAAAACACACACAAAGAAACAAAAAACCCCATCACCTTGGCCCTATATCAAAAGACTTGTAAATAAATGTACCAAAATTACAGTTGACCCTTGAACAACACAGGGGTTAGGGGAACCGACCCTCTGCACAGTTGAAAATCCATGTATAACTGTATAGGAGGCCCTCCATATCCATGGTTCTGCATCTGTGGATACAGTCAGCTGTGGATTGTGTAGCACTGTGGTATTTATTGGAAAAAAATCGACATATAAGTGGACCTGGGCAGTTCAAACCCATGTTGTTCAAGAGTCAAATGTATTTAAGTTAAAACAAAATGTTTCTATCTCCCTCTCCGTGTCTCTTTCTCTGTATCTCTCTGTCTGTCTCTTCCTATGTATATATAATTTTTACGACTTCAATAGAAGAGCTTTGCCTATGAGTATACTAAAGAGTTGCTGGAACTATGAGAAACCACTTATAGAGTAAAATGGGAGAACAAAGAAAAGGGTAACCAATGCTATGGGAAACAGGGTCAGTAAAGATACAGAGAAGGGGACACTAGAGCCGAGTGGACAGACAGTATGGGGAAAAGGCAGTGGCGACCCAAGTACAATATGAACAAAGGTGGCAGAAGCCCAAGCAACATGGCTTGTTGAGAAAACATAAATAGAACAAGACTTTCGAAACAGAGACTAAAGAAACAGGTAGGATCTGGATCTTCAAGGAACTGATAAGCCAGAATATAGAAGGTGGACTTTGAGAGAAACATGGAGCAAACACAGGGTTTTAAGCAGCAGAATATAGGAATTGGACGTGCATGCTCAAAAGATCATTGTAGAAGCAGCAGTAAGGGAACGTGAGGGTCTGGAGAGCGTTAGATTTTAAAAATATCACTTCAAGAGCTCAAGCAAGGGGCTTCCCTGGTGGTGCAGTGGTTGAGAGTCCGCCTGCCGATGCAGGGGACACGGG